TTAATAAAGATTACAAAAGAGATATTGCACACCTCAATAAAATATTGACTATTAAGTTAAGTATACACTTAGAATTAAATTACATCTTTTCAAAAAAAAATTGGCGCATGCGTATTTTTCTAAGTCTTTTGGTGGGAAAAATAAAAATGTTTAAACAGATATCAACAAGAAGTATTTTTTTTAAAAAAAATGGCGCATGCGTATTATTAGCGCCCGTATTTTTTCTAAGTTTTTTGGCGGGAAAATTAAAAATTTTTAAACAGATGTTAACAAGTAATTTTTTTTTTTTAAATGGCGCATGCGTATTATAAGCGCCCGTATTTTTCGAAGTTTTTTGGCGGGAAAATTAAAAATTTTGGCAAGGGTTATCATGAAAGCAAATTTCAACACAAATTTGTAGAAAATCACTTTTAATCTTGTCTAACTCGGTACAATAAGCTAAACAAAAATACTTTCTAGAAAAGTAATAATGGGCCTCGCACACAAATTTGCGCATTTCAAGACAATGTTTGCCCATCTTGATTCAAAAGTTTTGGAACACGAAGAATTAACTGCACGAGAAAACGAGAAAACGAGAAAACGAGAAATTTTTAGAAGCAAATTGTGGCTTGGAAAAATAGTAGTTGGAAAAAATATAAAGCTTATCTCCCAAGTAAATGACTCTGTGAGCTCGAAAATTGCACGTATTCTATAAAAAAAAATATCTGAAATTAATTTTTGGTGGCGGTCTTTTGACAAACAGATGACAATTCATTCTCTTCCTGTAAAATTATATAGCAGAATAAAACTGACAACTTGGAAATTTATAAGTCCTGTTGTTCTTTTTATCGAAGAGAATAAGCTTTTGATGTACGCTAAACACGAAGGCTTGCTACAAAATAATTTTTCGAAATCGAATTTGGATGTGACATTTTCATTTCGTAAACAAGACAATTAGAATTAGTGAACGGCGTAGTATAAAACAGACACGTACATTTGTAATTTGCCTGTAAAAATAATTCTTGGTTGCAATGTTTTGGCAAACAGACAATCAATCCCAGTAGTAAAATAAACAGTTGCCTTCAAAAACGCGAGCTCACAGAGTCTGTTTACCGAGATAAACACGAAGAATCGCTCAAAAAAATGATTTTTCCAAGTCAAATTAGGGCTTGATAATTTTGTAAATAAGACAATTAGAATTGAAGAACAGCCCTACATTAAACAAGCGAGTACTGTTGCCTTTGTAAAAAAATTAATCTAATGAATCGAATCTTCTCTTGCGAATTTCCATAATTCTACCGCTTGAATTTAATCTAATAGTCTCTCTTACTTCGCTCCTTTGTGTATTATTCTCAGCTCCAAATATAATGCCTTCAGAGTTTTGCCTTCTTGATTTCTTCCTGTAATGTCTTGCTTCTCTTGCCTCCAATGCATCGCCATTTGTCGTTTTCTTCAATCGATC